AACATTGTTTTCCTTGGTATTTACGTCATTAAAACCAAAAAACGACCGTCAACTATCGCGAAAGAAAGAATTCCAAGAAAAATGTTAAATATTTTGGGCTACAATATCGATAAACACCTCCTGTTTAGAATTTATCGGACTGTTATTGTCCATTTGATACCGCTTAAATTTTTCATTAGAGGCGCTCGATCGCTACGCGATCCCGGCCCCAAATGATTTAAGCGGTATCAAATGGACAATAACAGTCCTTTAAATTCTACACAGTCGGTGTCTATCTCCTAAATAAAACCATAATGTACATTGTCAGTATGTACAATATCGTACCATTTAACACATAATGTACACTGTCAGTATCTGCAATATCGTACCAAAAAAACATTATGTAGATTGTCGGTATCTGTAATATCTTACAATAAAACCATAATGTATATTGTCAGTATATACAATATTTACCATTTAACCCATAATGTACACTGTCAGTATCTGCAATATCGTACCATAAAGCCAAGATGTACGATGTCAGCTATCGTCAAATTAAAACATCGTACATGTCGTGAAGTACGCGTATTTGATATATTATATCGTACTTTTGAAAACCGCTGTACAGTGCCGGTGTCAGAAATATTGTATAGTTACGAGTATAATGTATTGTATTATGTCCAAAACATTGTACCACTGATACATATTGTACCACTGATACATATTGTACTAATGATACATATTGTATTACTGATACATATTGTACCACTGATACATATTGTACTAATGATACATATTGTATTACTGATACATATTGTACCACTGATACATATTGTACCACTGATACATATTGTACTAATGATACATATTGTACTACTGATACATATTGTACCACTGATACATATTGTACCACTGATACATATTGTACTAATGATACATATTGTACTACTGATACATATTGTACCACTGATACATATTGTACTAATGATACATATTGTATTACTGATACATATTGTACCACTGATACATATTGTACCACTGATACATATTGTACTAATGATACATATTGTACTACTGATACATATTGTACTACTGATACATATTCAAATTTCAACTTATCGTGATTAGTTATCATATAATCTCCCCAATAAATTCAGAACTAATTTCTTTCGAGGTCACGTTCGGAATTGGACGGAAATTGGACAAACTTCGAAGAGATAATACTAACATTATAAAATGTCTAATATAATATTTAATAACAGATATAATACTAACTTTATACAATATCTAATATAATATTTAATATTAACTAACTTTATATAATGTCTAATATAATATTTAATAACAGATATAATACTAACTTTATACAATATCTAATATAATATTTAATATTAACTAACTTTATACAATATATAATATAATATTTAATAACAGATATAATACTAACTTTATACAATATATAATATAATATTTAATAACAGATATAATACTAACTTTATACAATATATAATATAATATTTAATAACAGATATAATACTAACTTTATACAATATATAATATAATATTTAATAACAGATATAATACTAACTTTATACAATATATAATATAATATTTAATAACAGATATAATACTAACTTTATACAATATATAATATAATATTTAATAACAGATATAATACTAACTTTATAAAATGTCTAATTTAATATTTAATAACAGATATAATACTAACTTTATACAATATATAATATAATATTTAATAACAGATATAATACTAACTTTATATAATGTCTAATGTAATATATAATAAAAGATATAATATTAACTTGATATGATATAAACTTAATATAATATAAACTTAATATAATATCTAATATAATATTTAATAACAGATATAATACTAACTTAATACAATATCTAATATAATATTTAATAACATATTTAATACTAACTTTATATAATGTCTAATATAATGTTTAATAGATATAATACTAACTTTATACAATATATAATATAATATTTAATAACAGATATAATACTAACTTTATACAATATCTAATCGGTGGTGTATTTGTAATAAGAGTGAATACACTTTTAATATTTTGTTATGTTAAACAGAAATAGTGCTTACAGTGTTGTAACGGATGATACGTAATTTTTACGTAAATCTAACGATCAATGTTAACTGGGACGCCACTCGACTCAGTGATGCAACGCGTTAACCACCATTCGATCAGCCCCCCCCCCCCCCACATACACACACACACACCTTCGCAAGATAATGGTTCGTTAGAGATTAAGGGATCGTTAAAATAACTGGGTTTTGAGGAACTGTTAACTCTCTTGGTAAATTATCTCCCGTTAGCGGCGACGGCGGTAGTATCGGTTATTGAACAGGAATATTCGTCCGTCGATATGAGACGAGCATATGGACACAGCTCACCAAATATTCCTACGCCAAATGTAGGACGAGAGTTATTTTTAGTCTTCCTCTTCCTTTCCCCCATTCCCCCTTTTGCATGGCGATTTTTGTTGACTTTTTGGTGCAGAATAGAAGAAAAGGGTATATTGGGAAAATATTTCTGGGGGAGTGTAGCACTATCCATCCGGCTACATATTTTTGTTTTGGCACGATCGTCTAGGGGTTTGTTTGACTCTGGGCAGGCTACTGTTGTATTTATATGTGTGTGCGGATGAGGGGTGGGGTGGCAGTCCCTCCCAGTGCCGCCGGGTAACATAGGGCTGCGTGGAACATGCTAGAGTCGATTTGTAGCATAACTGACCCATGGTATATGTTTGACACTAGTGCATTATGATTATGATTATAATGATGAAAACCGCATTGAAACCGCTTAAGCTTTTGCCATTTGCAAGGGGCGCAAAAACTCAAGGGGCGCGTAAACTCAAAACCATGACGCAAAGCTTGTCATTGCGTCCTCAGTTAGCCCCTGGGTTAAACATCAAAATAACCCACATACGTTGCATATGTTTGTTTTTGCACTTAGAATCAATAATTTGTAAAGATAACAATATTGTTTCAGCCATCACATTGATCCATTCCTTGTCTATGAATTTGAAAACAATAACTGGTCAATGACATATTATGATCGCTACCACAATATTGTTACAGGAGGCCCCCTACCGCCGAGCCCGGCCACAACTGTTTCTGTAGGATATAAATTTCTGTTTACTCTTCATTCCATGTGCAATATTCCTTAATTCCATCAATTTCCAAAAATAATTGACAAATGAAAAAAGAAAAATACAAAATTAATTTGTTTTCTTTCCTTTTCAATAACAAACAAAGTAAAATGCAATCACATACCTAGTTGGTGTCAAGTGAAAGGTAAATCCCATTTCTCAAGAGGCGGGGTTTCGAATATCTCTCTCTCTTTCTTTCTATCTCTCTCTCTCTCCCCCTCTCTCTGATTTTCCCGGCGTGGGGGAGCCACGGTGGCTAGGTGGTTAAGACGCTGGCTCGCTAGCCTGGAGGTCGGGTGTTCGATCCCTGCATTGGCCGAGAAAGTTCATCTGGATTTTCCGACGTGGTTTCCCCTTGTCAGTGGTGCAGAACTGAGGGCCTGACAAAGACAGCTGTCTAGTCCTTCGGATGAGACGAAAAACCGAGGTCCCGTGTATACATTGGAATGCACGTAAAAGATCCCTTGGCAGTTGGAATTCGATATAAGAGTAGGCGATAGTGCCGCTGCCCGGGCAAAATTTCCCTTATAGCACTCTGTATGGCGTATGCCCGTCTTCATTAGCCCAGTATAGGAGCAGAACAGTAGGACGTTAAACCCCATTTCATTTCATTTCATTTCCCGGCGTGGTCCCCTCTCGTCAGTGTTGCAAGACGGGGGACATGGCAATGGACATTGTATATTCGCTCGGATGGTACGGGCAAACAGTGTACCTATAGCGTGCACGTACAGGAAACGTTGGCAGAATTCGAAACTAAAGTAGGCCGTATATAGTGTCGCTGTCCGGGCCAAATTTACCTCATAGCACACTGTGTGCATGCTTTATTGACCGCCGCCATGTTAGTTCGAGGGAGCTGTGCGTAAATATGCGGATGTTCACTGTTAACCATCGATCCAATCAATCAATCTGTGTACAACTTTTTTTAAAACCTGCACAAATATTAAATATGCTCACCCAGATATTTATTTTTTAGTACAAATAATAAAGATACATGGACCGACTTATCTCCGGTAAGCGGGTAAGACGCTGGCTCGCTAGCCTGGAGGTCGGGTGTTCGATCCCTGCATTGGCCGAGAAAGTTCATCCAGATTTTCCGGCGTGGTTTCCCCTTGTCAGTGATGCAGGACGGAGGGCCTGACATGGACAGCTGTCTAGTCGTTCGGATGGGACGAAAAACCGAGGTCCCGTGTACATATTGGCGTGCACGTAAAAGATCTGTTGGCAGTTGGAATTCGATATACGAGTAGGCCGTAGCGCCGCTGCCCGGGCAAAATTTCCCTCATAGCACACTGTATGGCGTATGCCCGTCTTCATTAGCCCAGTTTAGGAGCAGAACAGTAGGACGTTAAACCCCATTTTATTTCATTTCATATCTCAGTTAAAGGTTATAGAACAATTTAATTTGACACGTCCTCGATATGGCCAGTTATGCAAAGGTTTGGTGGAATTTGTTTGAAACTTTTCACCACAAGAGTTCCACAAAATATGGGACTTTAAAAAAATCAATTGTTACAAGAAATACTTCTCAGACCTTCCTGTGGGTATGTGGTGTTTTTTCACAAGAAATTGGACATAGAAAAAACAAATCTCTTCTCTCAGCCCCTATATGCCTGCGTGGTATCACATTTCACAAGCTTTTCGAGTATAATAATTATGATATATATTTTCGGTCTTTGGTGTTTTTTACCACAAAAGTTCCACAAGATATTGAATTTCTAATTGGTGGACGGCATCATTGTCCTTTGAACATTGTCTTTCCATACCCTTGCTTGAACAATACGTAAGCATACGCAACGATACGGGATGGCATCAGCCATATTACAGCTGTCGCCACCAAACGACCAATACCTACTGATATCAGAAACTCTGTACGCACTGAGGAAAATTGACGCTAGTCTGTAAGGATCGCTACAAATTCCCGCAGGACAACGCCATTTTATTTCTACCTGACGATTACCGGTAAGTATATTTATCATACCAGGTACAGAGATTGATAGGTTGCAGACAAGATCCTAGATCTAGATAATATCATATATTTTATAACGTGTTTTAGCATAGTATTTCAGATATGTGACAAATATGAGCGAATGTTTGGATTTCTGTTAAAAGAATCAAAGTTAGCACAAAATGTATACATCTAAACATTTTAAGAGTTTGTCGTCATTATGATAATAATCATATAACCTTTACGCGGCTATTGTTATTACTATTCGATGTTCAAATATGGACCTCGTGGGTTTTCTACGGGTCCCCTGGTTTCCTCCCACCGCTACCCGCAAGCGAATCGTTGAAATATAAAATAGAAACAGTCAAATTGCTTCAATCTGAACTGAGATATTAGCGATTCAATTAAGAGACTAGCTTCGATCGTCACTACTACTAATCGTTGTTTTAGCACTCCGAGTCCATATAATCAGATTAGTTTTAATATCGTTCATTTTATCAAGAGACTATTTTAGATTTTTGTATGGTGTACCACCACGAATATCATCTGGGTTAAATATATAGGGTATACATCGAAAATAGTACAACAGCGTCAAAATGTCATTGAAACTGCTTTGTGCTTAGCCCAGTTCGGAGCAGAACAATAGGACGTTAAACCCCATTTCATTTCATTTTGCATAGAATACAAATTGTTATTACAAGAAATAATGACGCGCGATTTGAAGGTTATTGAAAAGGTGTATTGTGAGAAATATATTATGGACTTTTGTGTATGAAACACGATAGATGGTAGCAAACCACTATTTCAAGACTGCATTATGTACAATTTAGATAAAGAACTAGTCGTTTTTGTTATACTGGTTTAAAAATAGAGAAATTCAAATTTCATATTTTGAAAACTTCATTCAAATTACTTTAGTTTGTCCTATGTTATCGAATCACTGTTTGAAGTTTTGACTAAATTGTTTATTATCGCAGCAACGGAAATTGTTAATCTAGACTCAGTCTCGCTTCTCTATTTTTAAATTAAATCAATAAATAGCGATTGGTTTTTTTAATCTGTTTACATCTAGATGGTTGATTACAAGCATGTGGTGTGAATAAGGTTTGTTCCATCTTTGCCAGCAGGTATTGTTTTAAAACAAAATCAGTTATCCGTGGCAGATTAGGGGTTATACTCTATATCATATTAACAAATATTTTATTGGCAAAATAAACTTATTCAACTTTACAAAAATATGTAAAATCCAACAAGATGGGGATGGCGTTTCCATATTCTATTACGTTCTTATCACCAGATAATAATCTTCTTTTTTCTTCCTTAAAGCGGTGGACACACTAGCCGAATGATTCGGCCGAATCGTTCGGCCGCATCAATCGGCGCCGAATTTTATTCGGCCGAATGGGTGGACACACTAGCCGAATGCTTCGCCCGATTCAACCTGTCGATTGCATCACCTATCACGTCACATGATTAAACATGGCGGCGTCTATGTCTTCAATCTATCACGTGACCTCTGTAAATATTAGCGTGATTGACAGCGATACTTTGTTTAATTTTTAATGCCACCTCTCGACGTAATTGGTTGTTCTTGGGGCCATCGGTATAAAATTGGTTCCATCTGCTAATATCAACTCCTTCAACCCACTGCTCTGTTGTATAATCTGCAAATTCAAGAACGCCGAGGATATCCATGTCCGTATCAACATCTTCTAAAGCATGGAACCAAAAGTCTTCAACATCATCAGGTTTAATTCTGGCTAATTGGGCATAATAGGTAACATAATCATTCTCATTATAGAGCTTCTGCAAACCACGTTTCTGGTTATTTCACCGAACAACCCATCGGAAGTGGAACATAATCTCTTGGTAGAGTTTTTCTTTGGTGTAGAATACTAGCATCTTATTCTGGCCTTCAACGTGAAGTAGGAAGTTGTCGCCATGTTTAGTTTCATGAAAACGTTGTGGCTGGGATATATTACATCATTCCTTGGGTATGGATGGGAAATTCTTGGATCTGGCCCGATATAGACTGGAAAGTGCACTGTAAAAGGCTGAAACGACCTAGTAACTTTACATTGAGATTATAGAATTTATTCAAATACACATAAAATATTCAATGAATAATTAAATTAGCATTCATTGATTATACAATAAAGCAAGATGCCGTTGTATATAAATTAAAAATAATTTTTAAAATCTATCAAATATAATTTAAAATATCTATCATATATAATTTAAAATATCTATCATATATAATTTAAAATATCTATTATTTCTAATACTGTTGATTTCGTCATAGTAAATAACTTCTTTCATAGATGATAAGAATAAATCTACTCTCAACTTGGTGGAATCAGCTTTATGATTATGAATGTTTTTGTAGTTAGTTGCAAGATCATTCCTAGTATTTACAGTAGCAGCACACTTCCAATGAACGGTATCTCTTCTTCCGGTCTTAACTCGAAACTTTGTGATTATAATAAATCAGGGGTTTGGTACCTCAAGAATTCGGAATGAAATGAACGTTAACTTGTGCATTAGCCATTTTGGAATGAAATAGAATTGGAACTTGCAGCTATGTAACCATATATCATAAACAGTGAAACATTCACCAGTGAACTAGGTCATGGGTTAAAACTGTTCATAGGTGGATTAAACCCGATTATAACTTTTTAATCTCTTAACCCCTAATTAGTACTGTTAATCCTTTAATTAGTAATGTTAATCTGCTGGCAAAGTTGAACACCACGTGTATGTGTGTGTGTGTGTGTGTGAGAGAGAGAGAGAGAGAGAGAGAGAGACAGAGAGAGAGAGAGAAATGGGGTTTAACGTCCACTCGACACAAACTAGGTCATTTCGGGACTAACATATGGTTCAATTTTATTTCAGTATTTCGCGTGCGCGTAGGGGTCTTTAGCACTGGGAGGAAACCGGGGGACCCGGTGAAAAAACACGAGGTTGGACAGGCTACCCTACTCCTTGTCACGTACAACCGGGGAACTGAAACCACGCCAGTCGACTCAATGACAGTCCTTATGATACAGCGCGCTCGCGCTAACCATTCGGCCATCCAACTCCCCGGAAGCACCCCGTGAATAAATGTTTAAAAAAATAATTCATATAACATTTGAAGCTAAAATAAAACCCTGTAATAGGCAGATTTAGACTTACGCTTTTTAAAAAAAAAAAAATAGAATTAGTAATTGGTTAAAACAGGTTGTTATTTAGTTTTCTTTGTAAAAATTATAACCTTAACACCAAACTTTTAGAATTTATTTTTTAAATATCAAAAACAGTTGAGCTTTTTTTTTGCCTGAATGATTTTCGACTGCGATTAAAATTTTTAAATCATAGCCCCTATACAAATGTACTTTGATATCAAATGACTCTATTTCTGGGTTGGTGAGTTTTTTTTGGGTTTTTTAACAGCAAAGTTTAATATTTCATTGTGATGTATATAGTGGGCATATAATATTTGTATGTGATTGAAGTGTAATACATGTAGTTGCTATCGCATACGGGGGTAGAATGAGTGAACTAGACAGTTAACCATATATTTTTTTTATTAATCGCCACCCTGCACGGTCTATGGAAGTATACTAAACAGCAAAAGAACCCCCCCCCAAAAAAAAAAAAAAAAAAAAAAACCGTCTGTACGATTTCAAAATCAGAGAGGCACTTTAATCAAATTATTCTAGAAAACGACTTACTAAATGGATCAAAGCAATTTTTTGTGAACAGTATGTTGACACATTAGTGATTATTTCATCACAATTCCAAGACATTACGAGAAAGTTTAGAATCTGTTCAGAGTTATATACCAAGCTGACGTTTCTTTTGCTGCTTAGTATATTTTGTATTCCTTGTCATACTAAATTGACAGAATGTATTGAAAACTTACCGATAAGCGGTCAATCCACTTGTTCTCATACTTTGTATATATTTGTATATTATACTTGATTTGTTTGTTTTACAATGTAAATGTTCAAATATTAAAGAACATTTAGAGATGGATACTGAGGACAGGCGAAAATATCAATTCAAACGACAGCTTGGTTATTCCCTCATTCTAGTTTATTGTAATTAAAAGTAGAAAAAAAAACAATGATATGTTTATTCAAGTACTTTGTGGTCAAAAGCCAATGGTAATTTATAAAATATATAAAGAGCAAAAAAAAAAACAATAACAGATAGGTAATCAATCTAAATGGAAAAATCAAACAGGACACATCATAGGAAAAAAAATATAATAAGCAATAATATGTTTATTCAAGTACTTTGTTGTCAAAAACCAATGGTAATTTATACAATATATAAAGAGATAAAAACAACAATAACACGTAGTGAATCAATCTAAATGGAGAAATACACATCACAGACAAAAATATACAATTTTATATCATACCTTTTTATCATACCTTTTTTGATATATACACACACAATGTTTATACATTATAAGTAATTAACTAACCCAATAAACATGATTATTGCTAAAATTAATATTTTATTGGCTTTTTATAACAAGATAATTTGCATTATTTCACGTAGGAAATCTTACAGTTTTAACAAGACAACAAATGTTTGTGGATGCGTGCCATCGTATGATCTGTTCGATCCCCTATTTAAAACAAATGGACATGAAATAAAATTTGATTTAACGTCCTGCTGTTCTGAAACCTACTTGTGCTACGGAATACGGGTATACACAATACAATTGGTTATGAGGGGTATCTTGACCAGGCATCAGCACTACTACCTACCCGCAAGGCTTCTTTTACGTGCACGTCTTGTTCGTCCTATCCTAAAGACTAGACGCCGTTCCTTGCTGGTCCCTCCCCCCTGCACACTAACGACAACAATCTTACACTATATAGTCGGTAAAATAAGATATTTAACCTCAAGCATGGTATTTACTAGACGTGATTTACTCAAACATAGTAGGCATAGTGCTGTATTTATTAAAACATAGTAGGCATAGTGCTGTATTTATTAAAACATAGTAGGCATAGTG